TTATCACGTTTCCGATGGATTTTAAAAGAAGGAGAAATGGTTGAAGAATGGCACAAGAATTTCTTTTATTTTATTTCGTAACATTTTTTGTGTTTGTCTGAAGATGGATGTTGTTTTTGTGGAATGAAGATGGAATTTGTCTGTGTCTTGGCAGGAATTAGGAATAAATTTTATGGTAAAATTCTGGAATAATTCTTTCATTTATGGAAGGAAGTTTTAACTCCAGTAGTGCAAGTGGCGCCCAGCCGATATGACTATGATATGGTGCTGGTTTCGATTTAAATCCAGCACCATATCAGAATCACACAGGCTTGATGCCGGATTTCTGATCGATTTACCGACCTGTGCCATTCGGGGTCGCTCTTGGTTGGAATTTACAGTTGAAAAGACGCTTAAGGGCTCCTGAAGCTACTTGGCTTAGAACAGTGATGAAATAATGATACAGCTTATACAGTACAAAGACACAGCTCCATAGTCAGGTGAGAAACCTTTTGCTGTAACCTAAGCTCCACAGAGAAATGTTGTTACAAAAAATAAGTAAGTAAGTGCAACCACTTCAAATAGACGCTAATTTAAGTGTCTTTTTAAAAGCCTAATAGATCAAATGATATCCCGTATCCTCCCTGACTACTCCCTACTTCAGACTATTATTTATGACCAGCCTTCAACTTTCCTTCTACTGAATACCCAAATAAAATCCAAAGCAAGTCTCAAATCAATAAAATATTTCTGAATCTTCTTCTCATATTTCCCACTGTCAGTAAAACACTCAAAAAGCAAGCAGAACAACGCACAGAAATATCATCAAACAGATTTAAATTTCACATTTTTCTTTTCATCCTATTCAAAGCCTCGAACATCAAGAAAGTTTCAAGTCTAAAGATTCCTTTTTGAGTATTAAATTTCATGTTTTTCAATGGAAACAAGAGAAAATCATATTAAAAATTGTTTGAGCTTTAAAACATATTCCATGGATACACACACAGCACCAATCCACCCACTTCATTCATGATGTCTTTCTCTCTCTTCCTCAAGGATTTAGTCTCGACACCAAATAGCAGACGATAAAAAAGCAGTTTTCGCTTTCAACTTTTACCATCCTTTTTGCAAAGCACAGCAATTTTTTTGTTGCTCTATCTTTTTTGCTGCTCGTTCTTGAAGCTTATAATAGGTTCCTCATGTATGCATACATACATGAAACATAATGAAAATGTGCTTATATTGAGGATTCTATCGTATTGTTCTTGTATTGAAGCAGATGGAGAACAAAAGCAAGAAGGTTATTAAAAATATTTCAAGTGGATGGTTGTGGATGATTGTGGATGTTGAGAATCAGTTTGGGTGGCTGTTGAGTTGTGCTTGGTTTTGTAGGTAGATTTGAAGTTACTTTTTGGTAAGTTTCTAAGAGTAAGGTGCTTATAAGAATAAGAAACAGATGCTTATTACTATTTACAGAAACCTCCTGTAAATCATGATGTCTTGCTTAACTGTAGATCATCAAAGGAAGTGGGTGCCTAAGAGGGTCTGTCCTCCTCCCTAGCTACATATACACAGTCATACAGTGTACATTAATAGAGTTGTCCAAAAAGTCATAACTTCATCACAACAAAGCGCTTTAAATCTATTACTCAATACTCAAAACCTTCCAGTCTCTTTATGCCTCTTCCATTCCCATCGACAGTAAAAATAAGGAAAAAGTTTTATGCCAATGAAAATTTTCTTTTGAAAAAGTTCTTTTTTGCAGATTAAAAAGAATTATTGCTTATGATGTTGGCACTTTAGATAATTGTAATGCGTCTACATGTATTAACAACTTTTTAAATAGCATTAAGGCAATTGTATTCTTTATTGTCTCACTGGGAATATCCTATTACTTGAATATCTCATTTTTGTTATAGGAGTCATTCATAAATGACGTACAGAGGAAGAATGTCTTTTGCTGTGTCATTTCCTTACAAAATGTAGGAAAATTTGTGATAGACGGGAAAGAGGACTTAAATCCCCAATTATTTGAAAGACGTCACTTACGAACGACCCCTTAGATACCTTAAAAACGAGAATCTGTAATGAAGATTTATCACGTAAATATGAATATTTTACGGGGTTGTTACTGCAAAAGGTTTTCCATTCTTCTCTCTTGTCCTGTAAGAATCAGCCATAAAAAGTGAACGATGACCAATTCAGTGAAAAAGCACTAAATTTTCATCATACATCTCATTCTGTTCAGTGAATAGAGAAGAGAGCTTAATTCTGAAAATTCCATTAGACGACGACAATTGCCATATTCACAGGTCTCTTGTCTGCTCTCAATGTTTGATGCTTCAAAATCGGATTAATGGATGTCAATTGGTGACGATTCATTTGTGAGAGATTAAATTTCATTTTTTCGTACCAACAATGGACACATAAAATGGTCTAAAAATAGAAACAGGAAATAAAAGAATTTAAAGACTCAGCACTTAATGTTCACAATGGATTTAAATTCCACTAATCCGATTAAAAACGCGTATAGAGCTTTAACATTTTTATTCTGTCTATTTTATCCACTCACGACCAACATCCAAATGTTTTATTTCTGCCCAGGATGAAAATCCATTTATATGCTATGAGCCACACGAAAACATCCACAAACAACCACGCATACATATGAGGAAGTGAAAAAAAATTTAACTCATAAAGAATAATTTATTATTCTACTGTGGCATCGCTTCCAACCACCAACGCTATTTTTTGCGGTCGCAATCTGTCATGCCATGAGAATAAAAAAAAATTGTTTATTATGTATTCGCATCTAATACTCAAACAAACACAAAAACATGCACATAATATATTTAATAATGTAATGTGAGATAGAAATACAAATTATTGTGATGAGTTGTGTCTGGATTATGGGATTTATGTAAGGGTTATGACGCATTTGAGGGTAATATGTCTAGAAATTTTGGGATAAGTTGAATTTTAAATCTGAACTCGGATTCTCTGGTGTTGGGATATTATGGTATGGATCAGCACGTGATGATATCTAAGTGAAAGTTCTCTTTACTATTCTGTTGATTGCACTTCCATTCTCAAAGCTCTTTAATTCAAACATAACATCTTGAATTGGGTCCAAGTAGATACGGCTCGATAAAAAGAGACCTTTAGTATGGTTTAGTGCTTCAGCAGAGATCGAAGATCTCGTGGATTGGATGTGTTGAAAAGGAGGCTAGACTCCTTAATATCCCAAACAAGCAGAAGTTTTCTAAGGAGAGAGGTGTCTTCAGACAATCTCAAAGCGCGGCATAGGCCCACGTGCGCCTCAGTCATGTAAGTAAGTAGGTAAGTGCTTCATCTGGCATTTTTAAAGTTTTGAACTACGGTTCCGTACTCACTTTAAATCTAAACAAAGTCTAGAACCATCAGCCTCAAAATTGAATGCCTTTACTAAACGTTTGTGTCCAAACACAGTTCTAAGACACAGTAACCAACCTAACGTTAATCTAGTCAAGTCAAGTCACAAGTACTATACATCTTATAAATCCACACCCACAAAATCATCTTAACAACATATCATCAAGTCACAAGTCAAAAACAGTATCTTTGAAGTACATCATTTATAAATCCAATTAGTAATTACCAGAGCAGAACAGAACCAGCACCATTTTGTCATCATCAGCTCATCACTTTCTTACATAATCTTAATAAACTTCACATTCACATGAGACAATGAATCAACAAAGGATCTGCTATTGATAACAGATTATCATGTCACCAACAATGCATTTTTTCATGCACAATCGTCACAGTTAAGCACAATATAATTTTCTAGTAACACCATAGACATGATGAATCATCTGCAGTCTCATTTTATTATCATTATATTGAAGAGCGTTGAAGCGAGAAAATAGTTTGCATATTTTTCATATACTTTTGACATTAAAACCACTCGTGCACACACAAATTGTGCTCTACAAATTCATTATGAAAGTTTTTCAAGAAGTTATGCTCATTTTGTAATGTTAAATGTGTGTCAAATGATTTTCAATTTAGTTTTTCAGGAGAGTTCAATGAACTTGCATGTGGAACTGATGAAAAGTTTATTTTTTTTTTGTTGGTAATTGAAGTGGTTGTGCTGTTTATTGCTGTTTTGTCAGTAGTTTAAGCTGTAAATCATGTGTTTTGTTCGTGTTGTTGAAATTTGAAACAAGTGTGCAATTATCTATGAAAAATTAGTGGATGTATGGAGTTGTAGATCGTTGAACTTATGTGGCAAAGGTATTGACTTTAAATCTTTGTCAGGCTTGGATTAGAGCTTGTAGTTTGTAAGCACATTAAGGGTGTCGAGCTAAGTTTAAGGAGATCTACCAGTACATTAGAACGAGTACAAGGGCCTCTGTGGCTGAGTGGTTATGCAATCTTATGTATGCGATGAGAACTTGGGTTCAAATCCCAACAGAAGCCGAGCTTCTAAAGCTTTTCAAGGAAAACTATCCAGCACTATCCTAGGACTATCCTATTTATACATTCAGCCTAGCCTTAGATATGAATTAAGTTAAGTCTTAAATAGATCTTTAACATGCAGTAAATAAATGAAAAAAGAATCGGAATCAACAAAAAATGCAGAGAATTTTTAATCAAGCACAAAAAATGCCAGACACATACTTAAAATCCACCATCAAATCACTTATTATCTAGAGTGCCTCAGCATTCAATAAAACAAACATTAGAAAACCTTCCAACTTTATAAAATTACCTCTGCAATATTGCGAAAAAGTGTGAATCACTTTTATTATACTCACGTGTACTTAAATGCTTCCTGTAAGTATAAGTAGCGGAAGACAAAAAGTAGAACAGAATCGTAAACACACATACGGTTCTGTTATTGATTTTCATGGCAAACTTTTTCATTCGTCCCGTGTCTTTTTATGGCATATCTTTTTATCATCTAAACAGCTATGGCAAAACATTTGGCAGAACATTTTTACGGAATGAATATTTTATTGCTCACCAAATGTCTTTTTTTCATCTCTTTATTTTTGCATTAAAATATGTGTGTGCTGAGCTTTATTCCTTGTTTTATTTATTACTGCCATCATTTTTTATTGTACTGAAATTTTAAAGCACTTGTTCCGGTCTCGACAGCTTTATCAGCAAACTTTTTAGTCGATGATTATGCGAACTGTCCTAGACATCGCTAATTTGAGTCAGCAAATCTGGCAGACTGTAACGAATGTTTTATGTTAATTAATATTTTTTTGGTACAATTAGCATTTTCTAAATTACCTTTGCACGTTGTTCCTCGTTCTCTTTAACTTTTGCCATCTCATCGTCGCTTAATAGTCTCGCATTTAATGAGTATAGATAAAATTTGACATTATGACGTTGAACATTAAGGGTGAGGATGATACAGGCCAATAAAATTTTCATACAGCAGCACTTTAAGACATAAGTTGTGCCTTGATTTTGCTTAAACAATGGCTCGCCATAAGACTGACAGTCATACATGAAGAAATTTTTGTTGTCAATATTTCCAATCGCCAAAGACCGTCCAGCACATAACAAAATTACACCTGGCATTTTCTGTTGTCTCAGCACAAAGTCTAGTGCTCGATTTAAATTAAAATGACTTCTATCCTCATCATAGAGACGCCCAAAGATTGATAGTTCAAGTTTAACATCGAAGCCAAAGTTCTGGATGCGACAAAATCCATTCAAGTCATCAACCTCAAGTTGATCTTTCTCATCTTTCATTCGTCTAACTGCATCGACAAGATATTTATGTCCATATGAAACAATCGAGTCCAAAAGCACTGAATCCCATTCATCAATGTTATATAAGTTTGACATAATCAATGAAACGATAGAGCATGCAAGGTGCTGCTTTCCAGCATAGTGCTTAAATATTCTCATGTTTGGATGAACATTGCCCCACAATGAATATAATTTCATGTCCATTTCGATGTCATATTCCTTCCATTTTGTGTCCTTTGAATATCGTTTCATTCCATCAGCATTCAATGTCTCTAATCGGCTCCATGGAACTGTACATGTCTCTGTTATCCATTCAATTTTCTCATTGTCACTTAGATCGATAAACTTACATGATTTTAATTCCACATTTTTCTTCGATCGTGACGTATTAAAGAGGAAGTAGCCAGTGCTTCCTTGCTTTCTTAATTTCTTATGTGATGCGATGAGAACGTGATAGATCTTGAAGGATATTTTTGGTTCCTCTGGAAGCATGATTTGTGATTTAATATAATCAAGAATGCTTTCAATGCTCTCATGTTTAGACCAGGAACTTAATGGATTTTCTATGCCTTCGTTTGACTCATTTGTGTCACTTGAATCGTATGGATCAAAAATGTGATAAAGCTTTGTGGATTTTTCATAAACGATGACTAAACTGCAGTTCTGTGCTTGAATAATTCCATATTTTTCTTTATTGAAAAACTCCTTAAGCAGCTTCAATTCCTCATTCCTAATTTTCTCCTCAAAATCTTCCTCCTGTCTATCTTCATTTAAATTCTTCTCCCTTCTTCTCATCTTTTTGACAATAAATTCAGATATTCTCAAATCATAAGTCATCGCTTCGACAATCATTCCATACAATGCCATTGTCTTTTGATAATTTTCAACATCAATGCTCTTGAAAATTCTTAATCCATTCTCCAATATTATATCGACACTGCGATAATTCATTTCCTCGAATGGATGATGAACAGCATACATGATGGCATAAATACATGCAAAATGACATTCACGCAATTGATTGTCAACGAATTGCATTCGATTTTTATATCCAAATGTTCCTTTTATTCTCCCATCATCATATCCAAATTGATTGAGCTGAATCCAATTTTGGTACAAGGGTGACATAAATGTTTCATTACCCGTCATTGACTTATTGTAAGCACTTAAATCCAATTGATAGTCGTCATCGTTCATTGATTGCAGCAGTGATTCATCAAAATCAATGTGCTCGAGATCATTTTCAGTCAATTCGGATGGAATTGAGTCAAGACCTGTTTCAGTTCGATACTTTTTGATTCGTTCCTTCTCTTCGCGCATTTTTGCATCATTTTCTTTCAATTTCTTTATCATCTCCTCGCGCTTTATCATGCGATTGTGTCGAAAAGCGTCAATAATGATTTTCTCTTGTGATTGAGTAAATGGAATGTACGGGAATTGTTCAGCATCATCAACATTCTTAATCTCATTAACCATCACACGATAGATTATAAATTTTTCATCATCTCGCACATCAAAATGATTTGCATGGATACGACGAATGAGTGAATGGAGATTATCAAAGCGAAGAAAGCATGGTGAACCATAATCGTCATTTTTGATGCGATAACCGACCATATTGCAGGTTGCATACTCAAAGAGATAATAGAAATTTTTCCGATAAAATACAGCTAAGCTTCCATGAGTCGTAACAATTAGGAATCGATCGATATCGTTAAATAATGTCTCCAAATACTTTTCAAGCATATCAAATTCACCATTGGCAACAGCTCGCATTTGAAGATCATAAAATTTATCTTTAATATGAATTTTTGGCAATTTATGCTCACTGACTGTATAAAAGTCCATTCGGTGCTTTAATTTTATTGATCCACTCATGATTTGTCCACATCCAAGAATATAATCAACAGTTTCCGGTGACCATGTTGCTATAGAATATTTTGTTGATGTTAAAATTGCAGCAATTCCAATAATCACAGACAAATTTTCATAATCATAAACATCAGCATCGAGTGGAATCTTAAAGAGACTTTTTGTGCCACGAACAATTTGTGTCTTGTCTGGCATTATTTGAAAATGTGATGGAATTAATCTCTCTTGACTCAATGTCATTGTCTCATTCTCCATTTCGTCATTACACTCATCACTGTCTTCATCGTCTGATTGATTCAAAATCTCATCACGTTCTTGCTGGAGATTTTCGAGGTCTGTTTTAAGCAATACTTTTTCAGCATTTCCAATATATTCGCCACATGGTGTCCAGACATTCGTCATTGAGTTCTTCTTCCAACTATTCACTTCCTTTATCTTTGAATCGACTTTTCTCGCTGACTTTTTGGCTAGACATTTATCAACATCATCAACGCCATCGCACATTTCAATGTTATGCAAAATTTCACTGTGAATTTCGCGCATAATTTCCATCGTTTTATCAATCACTTCCGGTTGTTTGATAATTGAAAGTTTCCTTTCGACTGATGCCATAATTTCATCGTAAGCTGTCATCTTACAGCACACGAGTGATGGGGAATTAAGATTTGTAATTTTCTGGTACAATGGCTGCTCTGGCGTCTTTTCAAGTGCTTTCAGCTGTTGAGCTTTTGTCAAGAGAGGAACGATAGAATCAACAGTCGATGGAACGTCGAGGAAATTTCGAGCATCGTCAGCTGTGAACGGACGGATGCATTTGAGATTTGCCATCTTGAAAATTGGCTTATTTCTTTGTTCCTTCTTACTTAATTTTCTCAATTCAATGATTTTCATGCCGTGAATTTTGAGATAGGTTTGGTCTGCATGAGGAATTTTAAGGAGTCTCTCGATTAAATGCTCACAGAGATGATCAATTGTCTCGTACACGAAGAGGGTTGACATTCCACAATAGTAGTCAATATCTCCATCGACATTCTTTTGGTATGGATCAAAGAAGTAGTAAATGTTTGCTGGCTCAGTTCTCCATAATGCGAACGAGTAATTGCCTACTTCCAGTAATAAACATCTGAATGAATCTAGTGACTCTATTAAAGCTGCTGTAATTGGATTATCGAAGACAAAACGAGTTTCTGTTAACAAGACATGATGGACATACGCAATGAGTGCTATTTGTACACAATAAGTATCACCGACATAAAATTTTGATGGAATTTCTGGCAATGACAAGCTTCTAATAACTTTTGGATCCTCAAGGCAATCCATGTGGAATTTGTATCCAAAATGAAGGAGTCGATCAAGAGTTGACTTGCACCAGCTTATTGGTGGATCAATTTTGCTATATATAATTGCCATAATCGAACTGGCTAGTCCGTATCGATTACGTAGATCCTCAAATACTGCACTATTGAGACTTAAATTGCCTTGCAGATATGCAATTTGTTCGTTGAGCATTTCATACTCATCATTGCGGCATGACTTTTGATTGCTTCCACTCACAGCCGTGAACTCGTTCAGCACATAATCCTTATCCATAAATTGTATCACTTTAACGTCCGAAATTTTAAATGGTGCTCTCGTATTAATCCCACTCAGATTGAGAATCAAATGATAAACATTCATGATTGACGTAAAAGCCATAAGTGCTGCCTCACGTTTATTATTTCGTTCGCAATGCTCATTGCGACCGCGCGGGTCAAACACATAAAATCCAATATGCTCATGCATGATGTAGAGAGTTAAATTTGATGTCTCAAATATTCCCTGCTGATATGCACTGAAAAATTTTTGCAATCCATTGTACAGGTCCATTGATCTTTCCGTCATTGTCAATATTCTCCCAATGACAATTGGTTCTGTCATTGTGACTTGCATGTAATTGTTTTTGTATGTGAAGCCTTTTGTGAACGAATTCAATTTATCGATGTGAACATCTTTTGTAGCTTTATACAATTCAGCTCCCATCATTAAAATATGATCGATATCACGTTCGGACCAATTAGCAGGATGCTTTATGTGAGACATGCCATGGGCAACAATTACAACATCTAATGCATGACTTCCTTTCAGTTCCATTGTCTTGCAGTCATTAAGGATATTGTGTGAGCCAAGCTGAATGCCAAATGGTTTACCAAGTGTCATGTCAAATGTTGAAAACTTCTTCTTAGGTGTCAAGAGATTTAATTGCGATACGTTTACTTTAATTGTACGACGACATAATGCTGGAAGGGGTGGAAAGAAGAAGATAAATTGAAGTTTTTACTTTTTAAAGTCCATTGAACTTACGAATCTGCTTCTCATCTTGATTCTTTTTAGATTTTTGTTCGTCGAACTTTTCATTTACTTTTACAAAGAGCTGCTCGCCACGTTTGAAAACTTTTACGGGCATTCCATCAAGTAACTTCTGCTTCTCTCTTGGATCAAAATCGAGCTTTTTTGTCGATTGCTTTGAAGACTCCTTCGGCTTCAATGTAATGCCAGTTTTGGGTTTGATTAAATTTAACTGTGAATGAAAAAGTTTTAATGGATTAGGAATTAGCTTTAAATTTGGGGTTTTGTCATGATAATGTGGGCAGATTACTGTTGAAAGTCAACACTGGGATCAGTTAATATTTTAGGGGATTCAGATGAAGCGTTCAAAGAGGTTCAATTAACAGCATGGAAAGGTTAATATGATTCGTGTTTATGATGTATCAAAACTAAGATTGGAAACTCTTAATCTACAGATTTATTAAAGATTCCCAGTAATTTAAGAGAACTTCGATCCATACGATTTTTCTCATGCTAAGTCTGTACCTCATAATCGAGATTCGACGAACAGTAACTACACAACCCCTAAATTATCACCCAAACAAACAGATTATGTAAATCGATTCCATTTTATCTCCATAATAATAACTCAAGTCCTTGGATAACAATTCTCAACAAATCTAAGTTATGCCTTTAGCAAAATAAGAATGAAATTCAAGCTTACAAAGTTCTTTGTATGAAATTGAGGCAAAATGAGACTCGGTGTCTTTGAGGCTGGCTGTGGCTTCAATTCATCATCATCGTTCAGTTTCAAACTTTCAAGGCTGATATTCTTTTCATTTGGATAATTAATTTGATTAGAGAATTTAACAATTTCAGGTCGCTTTCCTTTTTGACAGGCTTCCAGCGCTTTCTGTTCTCTTTCTGCCGCTTCTCTCTTTTGCTCTTCAATCGTTTTCCTTTCTTTTGGGTAGCTGTTGGAAATTCTATTTAAATTAAAATTGAATAGAGAATTTATCTGCTTCATCGACTTACCCGCTCGATCCCATTGCCGCATTATCTATAATTTCATCATTTGTCTTCTTCCTTCCTACTGCTTTATGCTGAATCTTACGAATGAATAAGAGACAAAATTAATTCAGATAATTGCGGATAATCTTAATGCAAAAAAAACGAGGACAATTTGATTATTTGAATTTTTTGGACATACCTTTGAGACTTTTGGATCCACCGAGACCTTTTCAGTGTCGAAAATATCCAACTTTTTGTTCCCTTCCAGTTGCGAAATCATTGAAAGTATTTTGTCACTCTTCGATCCAATTTTTCCCAAAAGCTTTGATACGTGAGGATTTTCATCATTCTCCCATGATTTCAATTTTGATATGCTTTCTGAATCGACAACATCGTCTGTGATGGAAATCAATTTTCGTGACATTTTTTAAACAAGACTTTTTTTCACTCCTTTTATATAAAAGCTTACACTGAGAATTTTGTTGACTGATTGAACCGAAATTTTTTGTAAAATGAATCAGAAATTAAAATGCGGGTACTTCGATGAAACATTATTTTAATTGATTTTCAGTTTCCCTTTGTGGATGTTATATGCAAAATATGATTAGTAATACTAAGATAGACATGTCATGCATCAGGGTCGTGCTCAAAAGCCTTACATTGACAACGTATTACCTCAATTGACTGAAGGTTCTCGAAGAAAAATCAAACCTCAATTATCAAATTCCTACCCTAATCTTAAAGAACTTTTGGCTGCATTCCTATCATGCATCAGCAGCTAAGATGTTAGAACTTAATGCTTTAATAACTTTGTGAAACTTTCTTGCTTCACTTTTTCATCTTCATTTCCATCAAACCCTGACTTCAGTCACATCTTCAACCAACAAGTTCCTTCACTTTTTACAACATTACCTACATCCTCGAGTCTCCAAAAAGTTCATTGACCTCCAAGTCTCTTCCGCATTTCATGTATCTGCAACATTTTCCACTTACAATCCTATTTATCTTCCAAAAGAGGAGGTAATCCATCACGGAAGAAAAGTATAAGTGTAGAATATTGAGGAACTAATGTGAGGGGATAATAAAGAAAGTGGCATGCACTTAATCAAAAACTACACACATGAAAGAGAAATAGAAAGAAAATATGAAAGGACATAACACATTGAGCATCATTTACACATGAAAGCACTGCATTTAAACTGGAATGAGGTGAATGAACATGAAGCAGCAGCATCATCAGCACGATTCACCTAAATAAGGAAGGAAAAAAAGTATTTCACGTGAGTCGCATAAATGCCATAAATTGAAGTCAAAATTGCTGCAGTTAGCAGACAAGTTGTTTTCTCCTCACATCCCCCCCCCCACAAAAAAAACCTCTTCATTCACAGAAATGAGCTGTCGAAAATTGTCAGCTACGTATGAAAAATGATTATGTTGCATCATTTTTCAAAAAATATCACTTATGGCATGTACTTTACACACATAGCATAGGTGTGTACATAATATTACAGAGCAAAATGTGCGAATCCCCTCACGTGAGCTTGTTAAAGGTTTTCTGTAGCAGGGGCGTAGTTGAGAGGGGTTCAAAACCTTTTTTTAAGAAAGAGATCAATTTTTGCAATTACATGATTAAGGATAAATCCATGAAATTTATCTAGCCACAGTTTGTGTGGTTGAGAACCACCTGCATGGAGAGACCCATATTAGTCGTTATTATTGATTGACCAATTTTAAATTTTTGAGCTCTACGATTCACAGTGGATCAATAGGACCTAATGATCATCCTTAATGAGACATGTTGAGAATAAAATCCACCCCCCCCCCCCCCCCCCCCCCTTTGAAATCTCTATCTCCTCCCCTGTTCCTGTTATAAAAAAAAATGTGGAGCAAATCATTGCAAATACACATCATATCGATTTTTTTCTTCTCTCCACTCATTGTATGTCTTTCTATAAAATTCCTGTGTGCAAAAGTCCCTTACGTGTATCGAATGAATTTTTTATGGTTCACCGACATCAAGCCAGATGCTTTAGATATGGAGAGAGAAAGGAAATTGTGAGGAAAAATGGTTTTTAACAAATTGGATTTCAAAAGACTTTCAAATAAAACAAGACAAATGGAAATCTCACTTTGCCTCCATCCACTTCCTTTTTTTCGGCGCATTTGTTGGGATTGTGATGGGTAAAAAGTATATTCTTATCCGAATTTCATCTTAAAGTCCTTGTTGCCATATTTTTGGTGTAAAGTCTGTAGAGACGAAGCTTATTTATGTGTGGATACTTTAATGGAAGCGGAATTCTATTTTATTGGATGGTTGAACATGGATTTAAAGACTTTTGTTGAATTTTGTTGTTCTTATCAAATCGATAAATTACTTTGTGTGGATTTTTTGCTGAATGCGAAAATGACCTAAATTTTGAGGGAATTTATTTTGATGTGAAAAGACTTGATAGCTTAATCTAGTGCTATTAAAAGTTTTATTTTCTGGAAAATTTTTGGTTTGCAGAAAATTTCGTGTTAAGCGATTTTTTTTTTGATTCCGATTGTGAATTTTTATGAGCATTTAACAGCAAAGTCTTTGAATGATGGCTTTTTTTGTTGAGGAGGGATATGTTATGCTTGTCAGATCTTTCTCTTAGGCCTAGACCTAGAGTTAAAAGTTGAATTTCTAGGCTTATTTCTAAGGCAGCCAGAGAGTACTTTAACCGTCTATAGAATTGAAAACCGATAATACTAGACTCTGGGAAATAAATTATTTTTCATTCTGTGGCTAGTCTCCTCTCAATAGCCATCTTAAAGCCGGTTCGGAAGAAATCAATGTTCATTATTAATATAGGCAGTGAGGGGTTCAAAGAAGTTTGGACCACCACAAGAGAGTTGTGAACTTAATTTATTCATACAACTCATTTCTCATCTCGAGTTTCGAACCCATAATTATTGAGTCTGTATTACAATCATAAAGTAACAAAGCACAAAACTAATCCTCCAACGAGTCTCTTAAGATCAAAATCAAGTGCTAATATGCGCTATAAAACCTCTGAATTGTCTCTAAGTTTTCCAACTTACTTCCTTTTTCCCTCCACAAATGGAGATGGCAAAAAAAAATTCCTCCACATTCACATCCACACACACGTTCAATAGAAACATTTCTGCCACATCCATTGAGCAACAGAAGTAAAAAAAAAGAAGAAAAAAAACTCATTTTTCATCGACATTCAAGACAATGTGGACCGAAAATTGCAATTTCACCAGATGGTGCAGAAACAACAAATTCTAATAATCATAAAAATAAAGTCAGACACGTCATGTGTTTATGGACTTTGATTGTGATTAAATTGTTATCGCTTTCGTTTTGTTCCTTAAAGTGTGTTTTTTTGTCATTCATGCTGTGACTTGGCTTTAAGAGTTAATCCATGGACCTTTTGAAAAACTTTTCCGACATCTCGAAAGGAAAATCTCTTCAAGATGGGAATATTTTAAGCATAAAGTATTCTTCATCCCGTCAACGGTTGGATAGAAGAAGAAAAAAAGTTGAACATCCGGGAAGTATATAATTAGCATAAAATTATCTCTTTGATTAATTTCCTTCCGGAAAAATGAACGAAAAATTCTTAATTAAAAGAGCGTACAGATATAATGATAATGGATAGCCTTCGGATATAAAAAAAAAATATCTTCCTCATCGCTATTTTATTTATATTTTTTAAAATCATCAGCGAATCATTTTAAAACTTAAATTTGACCTGAACGATTCCTCATTATTCTCGAGAGCAGAACAAAATATACAAAAGCTCCGCTGATGCTGAATAACCACAACAAAACGAATGAAAAATCACAAAAAAAATTTTGTTGAAAGTAAAAAAAGAAATAAAAAATTGAAAAAGTATTGCGGTTGAGGAAGAAGATATTTTTTTCGAGTGTGGAACGGAAATCAAATTGAAAGTGCATTGGCAAAGAAAAACAGAAATAAAAGAAATGCAATGAAAAAAGAGTCGAGATTGAAAGTTTTGTAATGAAAAAATATTAAACTTTTCCAATTCAAATATTTTTCGTGTCTGTTGTGTCGAAAATCCTTTCAATTCATAACTTTTATGCTGTATGGCACACAAAAGCAGATACAATAAACTGATTCTAAACTGAAAAGCACCACTTGAAGATCTAAAAAGCAGAGTAAATTTAAATCCAAAAACTCAAAATGAATTGAAAAATCACACTAAGCACATGTGCGGCTTTTTCTCATGACTAGAAAAGTTCAAAACTTGTGATAATAAATATTTGAATTGCTAAATTGCTTTTTTAATTGAATCTCGATTTAATTCTCCTGCAATGCTGTTTATTGTCCTCCACAACTTGATATCAGTAAATCCTATTTTGTAATTTTGATCGCTCTATAGCTGAAAGCCAGCTGTAATCTATTTTATTCATATATATCACTGCCATAATTCCACATGCATTTGATTTGTAATTCAAATTTGATTCCAATAATTTAATCAATAAGTATAATAATAAGGCATAGATTTGTGTGTGTGTGTCTTGGTGCCGATGATATTGCGTGAATTTTTATTGTTACAGTAAGTGATGAAAATCATTTATCATTTCTTCATTTTCCTTTTAAAAACCACACAGACACACGCAAATAATGGCAAAATAATAATAATAATGGGGATGAGGAGCAACATGAGCAGTAACTCTATTGTTATTATTGTTAATAGAGAATCTCTTTCCATTTTCATTCATCGAATTTTGACCCAAAAAATGTTTGTACTTTTGTGCCGTTAAGTGCTTCTGCTTTTATTTTGGACGATGACAAAGGATTAGAATGAAAAAGCAAAGATTTGTCCACTTTTATGCTTCGTTCAGCATTTTCTTGTGAATATGAAAAAAATGAAGAACATTTTGAAAAATCAAATAAGCATAAAAGTTTGAAGACATCTAATTCCATCTGGTTCTGCTCGAAATTTATCTTCATCATATGACAATGAATTCACCCAAATGCTTTAATAATCACTTCCATCATCAATTTTAAGCAGTCGGAAAATAGTTTCGAAGACATGTTTGAAAACAATTAAGAATAAATTTCTTTCGGCGGCATTTCTGCTGCCATAGAAGCTGATTTGTTGCTGTTTATTTATAGAAGATCGTGTCACACGACAATTTTCTTGTTCACACATTTTCCATTCACGTAATTTATTTACATCTTCATGCTTCTTCTTATTTCTGTGAAGCCTCAATAATTAAAAACAAATATATGAAGTCAGTCGCTGACTTGGCATTTATGTCTAGCTACTCAAAATTCTGTGAACATGAAACAATAAGATTTGGCAGTAATTTTAAGCTGATTCCTTGATTCTTAAGTAATTTAATTTTTGTGTTATTCAATTTTCCAGTCAATAATACAAAATACAAGGCAGGCAGTGGCAACGAGACAAAAACTATAATTTTGG